ATTTCCGGTTAACCGTAAAGGATCGACGTGACGAAAGGTTGAGAGTGACCTAGCCACCGCAATCTCTTTCCCATTAGTCTTTGAACTGTCTCGATGTTGAGGAGAAATACTCTCTTCAATGCTGCGAAAAAATTCCCCCTCTCTTTCTTATTATTTGACGGTAATTGCACGACGCAAATACCCGCTTTGTGGGGAGTCATTTGATTTTGCTGGATAACTGCGAATATTGGATGAATAATTTATTCGCGGTGGATAAAAATATCGTGCATTAGAGGGGAGTGAAATGTTTATTTTTGGAGGAAATCGGTTTTCCACTTGAGGAGAGTTCATTAATGTTTTTCCACTTTTTGGTGATAAAATTCTGATGATATGAAGAATATTCATAAAGTCAAAGAGGAGTTATTTGATAAATAAAAACACAAATAAAAGAATCATCACTAGAGAAACTAGTGCCTAAAATTCAAACACTCTCGTCCCCTTTTTTAAGACGGTCGTGTTTCCAAATTTCAATTTTTTTTGTGTCTCAAATGCTTCCGGATTTTTTGTTTCAAACTTATGATGTCTCATTTTTTTTTCGGACACTTCATTAATTTTTTCTCAATCTTTACATCACTACTAATTTTGGGTGCATTAAAAATAGTGGTGACGACGCAGAATTTGAAGGGAAATAGAAAAACAGGGGCGAAAGAATTTAGCTTGATAAATACAGATATAGTGGTATTAATTTATTCCCGAATTATAAAAATATCGCGCAGTAAAGGTGAGTGAGATATTTATTTTCTAATGAAATCGGTTTTCGACGATGAAATTCTGATGATATGAGGAATGTAAATAAAGTCTTGTAGGAGTTATTTGCGCAATAAAAATGAAGAGGACCTAGGGGAGCGATAAAAACAGAAACGAGAGGATCATCACTAGAAAAAACTAGTGCCTGAAATTCAGACACTCGTTTGTCTGAATGTCTCCCTTTTTTAAGACGTTCGTGTCCCCAAATTCAACTCATTACATAGTTTATACAGTACAATGAAATCTCTCGGTAAGATCGAAAAAAAACATTACGAGATTCACCGAGAAGTGATATCTGTAGATTTAATAGTGCCCCGTTTTCACCTTCACCCACACCCTCACAGCCGGAGAAATACTATTTCCCATCGTTCATAAATTTGTTTCGCTCGCTTCACTCCGCGGTATATCGTACACACGCGTATTCGCCCCACCGATCCGTATGGATTTCTTATCCCCTTCGAATGTAAGTTTATCGAATAACTTTCACCCTCCACAGAGCACGTCTATGCTGACTCCCATCCACCTGCAATATATCCAATCGTCTGCTTTCATTCACCACACATTTCGCTCTCACGTACATTTCTCCATCTTCACTTTCCTTTGACGGTGTCTTTTTTTTCTTGATGCCGGCATTCCATCGGTATATCACGCGTCCCGTAAAGAAACAGATGAAACGAGATGATGACTTCTGTTCCCAAGTTGTGATTCCAAATAACCGTTTTTTGTGATGATGGCATGTCGTTTCTTATCACGCCCGTAAATCGGTGGGATGGGTTATTATATTTTCTAGGACGCCAGCAAGTCTTGGCAAGGTTTTGACCACTTGGTATGCAAATCGAATTGGAAGGGACGAGGAAGCCAAGTTATAACAAATTGACAGACTATTTGGCGAATATCTTAGGAAGGATCAGCTTGTGAGAAGATGGTTAGGTTTCCCTATAGAAGATTTGATAGCATTCACAAATTATCATCCGGTATTTTATCCTAAACCTACAAGGGTTCGCTCAAAAGAATTTAATTGTGGGAGAATGGGATTGGAAGGGACGTGGAAGCTGTCAAAACAAATTGTCAGACTATTTGGCGAATATCTTAGGAACGATCAGCCTGTGAACTCCTCATTACTATCAAACATGGCTTTCCCCAAACCAGGCCCCTCCCATTTTTGTCTTAAACGCCCCTCTAAGCTTTAACTTTCCAGTCAAATCGACGCCAAAATCAATTCCACTTGCCACACAAGGATTGCAAAAAGCCCACGGGGGATCGCCCCCCTCCGTTGCTGTCTAAAAAATACCCCAGGGGTTTGTTGGAGCGAGGGAAAATCAAATTGCCGGATTCGGAAAACGAATCTCCGCCAGGAGAAAGCGTTCGGTCTACATCGCAAGCAGAAAATATCTCAAAAGGGGTAACACATTCGGGATGCGAAGAGTGATTGGAAGAAAAAAGGGAAAATGGTTGATGATATGAGGGTGAATGGAAGAGAGGGACGGTAGTGTAATCCTGGAGGAATCCATTTCAGTATCCAAACATGATTATGTACGATGGAGTTGCAAACTCCAAGTAGCTGATAGCAACCCGTAACGTCTCTCGATCTTTTTGCTCGGGGGGAGTATATCGAGTGTCCTTAGGAAAATTCCCGAGGGGGCCTAGGTGAATGTAATCGGATTTGGTGAATTCGAAGTGGTCCCTGAATCAAAAGAATCGGAGGACTTGAACATATCTTTGCTCATATAGGTCCATGTCTTGATGATTGCAAAGCTCAACGAGGTTCATCTGCTTCTGGAGTTCGTTGGATTCATCAGAAGGCATCACGTGACCGATGCTCAAAAGAATAGGTATGATGATCAACTTGGCTGAAATCTCTGAAGAATCTCAAAAAGACGTTTCGTCCGATGGAAATTATTGGATCGTGGAAACAAGTTCTTCCATTTCTTACATCCCTTGGATCAATAACAAGCCGAAGCTGAGGAACCTTTCCGTTTCGAAGGAGTAATCATGATCAAGTTAGCAAAAGCTATTTTGCGATAAAAAATGTATTGACGAGACATTTCCGTAGATGATGGTACAAACAGTTATTGAGTTCTCCAAAGGACATGTCCCTCACAATAAACTTATACATCTCAACTTCCATCGCCTGTCTCGACTCCTAATCCAATTCAGATCGAATGATTCAGCATCCCCTGGCAAAGTTGACAACAAAACAATTGAAATCTGTCATGTGATATTCGTAGTATTGAGCCCCTCACTCAGCAATTCAGTTCTCAAGATAGTAGAGTACATGTTTTATTCACCAGGGATGAGTTACCACTGGCTCTATAAATATAATAACGCCGTTCAATATCAATTGCTGGAAGCAAGGGAATTCTTCTTGGATATCACTTTGGTCTTCCTCACTCACTCGTCCTCTTTACTTCCTCGACCTTTTTTTGTACCTTTTCCCTCTTTTTCTCATTCTTCTTTTAAAGGAGAAAGTTCTGGCCGATGCACGGGGAACAATGGACGTCGAAGACATTCAATTTTTCATCGAGTCGCCAACTATATTACCAGAGTGTACGTAGGTGTGCACATACACGAGTAAAATACGTATATATGTATACGAATAGCATGTAGGAGTCGGCATTCAGCCCTTGGTACATGGATGGTTGCTATGTACCTACTTTTCTCGTTCGTCTCTCGTTTCCCAGTCACTTGCCCATGCTCTCCACTTCGATCCACATAACCAGGAACCGCCTTTCGCAGATGGCTTGTAAATTCCTTTGATGACGTCAACGACTAATGTATGATTTCAGTCATTTCATAGATGAGAGATTATTGCTGTAATTATGTGGTAATGTATGAGCTGACATGGAGAATTTTGTTGATCATGACGTCGGGGTGATATTAAAGCCCTTTGCGCTGCTAAGTCTTTCAGGTAGGCAACCAATTTCCCGACATTTCGCTGATGAGCTTTTTGAACAGCTTCTTCAATGCAGACGTCGAATATGACTTGTTATTGCTTCAAAACTGAAGCTTCCGTTGTTTACTGACGCGTCATCACAGAATTATTTCATGAATGATCCTTTAAAGTTCGAAGGATGAAAAATTCATCCTCATGTTGCTGCTGAAGCCTTCAATAACATGGAATTGAATCAATACTGAAATGGAATACACCTTAAAAACCCGAGATGATGTAATAGATGTGAAGAAGAATCCCGAGGGCTTTGATCTACTCACAGATTTTTTTTTCTCATGATCAAAGTCCAACCTCTGAGAGCATTCCACCATTGTCAGACATCAGACGTATTCCAACTACCTCCAATCGTCCATTCCTTCTTATTACAGACTGCACTCTCCGCCTTAATCGCGACAAGACGCTTCATTTCTCCGTTTGCTGAATTTCTGGTTTCTTTGGTGACAAATCCTCTCAGCAAATTTCTTCATTGATCTTATCATCTTTGATGTGTGGGTGAAGGTGCAAAATCCGTGCATCAATCACCGGATTTTTGGAGATTGCAGCGTACGGAGAGTATTTGCAGCGGGGAGACGGGTGGGCGTTAAAGGGGTTGAAAAAATACGCTCGAGGAGGCTGAAGGAGTCTTGGGTATCTCGAGTGAGTTGGAGGAGTGCTGGAATAGGCCGAGGTTGGAGAAAAGTTCATCTCGATACTAAAGTCACTTTTCGTTGTTTACTTTAACGTCTGTTGACGATCCAACATCAAGACCATTATTGCTAATTATGTTGGAATTGGATGAGAGTATCAACTTTTCAAATACGGAAAGGATTATTGGGTTATTTTGAATTGATCGTCAGCAGTTAAAAAAATTAACGAAAAAGCTTTCTTCAACAGAAGACTCCTGACCTTCCACCATTTAACTCAAAAATGTCAAATGTCGAATCCTCCAGTTGACCAGATCCTCCAAAATTCATGGTCACAATCCACCAATTGATCACTCAAGCATTCCCCACCCCAAGCTCACAAACTCCATGTTTCACGCATCATGAAATTCCCCCATTAACACTGTAAATACACACGTGTAAAAGCGAACGTCACACCAACTGAAAACGTGCTCCATGCGGAAACTCTTCATTATCCGCAAACAATTGTATCCAGTCTGTGCCGGTAAACTATCACCAAGAGGATTACAAAAGTTCTCGTGAATCACGTAAAAGCCCCAACAACAAAAGCCCATGTTTATTTACTCAGCGGTATTTATAATTGTTTGTTTATTCTGTTGCAGGTAAGGATCAAAATTTCGCCAGTAATAATCAGGGTGAGTCTTTTTCAATTCTAACACTTAATACATTATTCACTGTAAAAATAAGTCCGTCAAAGTATCGTAACTGTCAATTATCGTTGATTATCAGTCTATTTAATGGAATATTTCTGCTCTTCGGGAGATACTTTTTACAGTGAATCATAATTTCTCTGCATGCGTAGTGACTTGAGAATGTTTTCTAAGAAATCACTAACGCGTAGGCACTAACGAGCTGTTCTTTTGCGATTGAGCTTGGATGACAAGTGCAACGATAGCGTCTTTTGTTGACGTAATTGACAATCAATTAACGGGCTCATTCAATCATACCCAACTCAGTTAACTTTATCGAGGAAGACTCAATCTTGAGAGCTAGTACCGGCGATACGATCAGTTCGATAGTAAAAGGTAGAGTGAAGCGGAGGGTGAGAATACAAAAAAAAATGAGAGGAAAGAAAACTCGGAGAAATCGTGGAGAGTGTGAACGGGTGGGAGTTGAAGGGGATGAGGGCAGATAAGAGCGGCGAATTGCAAGCAATCCGACTGATTAGGCTCCGCAGGTGTAATCCCGGCGGCACGTTTCTCTGTATCCATGATACTTGCTGTAGATGAAGAGAAAAAAGGGAGTCCATTTATATATAAAGAAGGTGGCTGAGGGAATCAGTCGTGTCGATGGGGGAGAACGGGAAAAAGTGTGGAGGTTGAAATGAGCCTGACATTGAGAGGTTAGGGATGAGTACCGGAGGATTCGGGGATTGTTCAAATGTGGGTCCGGATGTATGAGAGACTTACCGTCAAATTTCGTAATTTCGGCATGATTTTGGCGCCTCGGTTATCGGAGGATTACGGGTATCAGGAGATTTCGGAGTGCGAGTAGTTGACGTTCTTGTTCCAGCAAACAACAGTCTTTCTGACTTCTGAGGGATCATGTCATCCTCAAAATCGTTTGTTGGTGATTGGTAGTGACTGAGGACGACTTTACTTATGGAGATGCTTATTTGCATCAACTTGTGACACTTGACAAGCAAGTCTACCCCAAATTCATCAATTCCAGGTCAATCCGCTGGTAAATCAGACAGCTTCTGATCATTTAACATTCACAATCTCTCTCATCTCTCATGATATCACAAATCCTCTTTAAAATCATATGGTCGTGATTGGTAGACCATAAAAATCCTAAAGCATCATGTCACTCCTCGACTTTGACAAGACGAACGAACGTCCCCCTCATAATTCTAATGTCGTCTCTATCAGATTGCCATTGACCACCGATCGACCAACAATCATCTCCAAAATCACAGAAAAAAATTAAATTAACTCCTGCCGCCAGCAACAAATAACCAAAACTAGCGCATCGTGTCCGAATTTAAACAATACTCCTCACCCAAGGGATAGTCTCCCCTCCACACACCATTTTAGTTAATTACCACCTCCTGCACCCCCTCCATACCCCTATAATCATATCTAACAACGCTCTTAATGTACTCCCATTAATTAATGAAAGCAGAATTCAAATGCCGTCCAGTCATATTTCTCCCCATCTCATTCTCGCCTCTACATTCCAGTTTTGCGTAATAAAAGTAGAGTTGGACGGACAGAAAAAAAAATTGAAAAAAGGATGAAATAAAGTGCTGGCAACTCTTGCATTTGCTTCCGCGTAAAATTGTCTTGGTCTCTTTATTCTGTTTCTCCCGTTCTTTTTGTTTTGTTCCAAAAGCAATGCATTTAAATTATTTATAATGGGACTGCTTTTTCAATCTACATTGCAAAACGATGCGCCCTCTCTCTCCCTCACTAGCCATTTCTCCAGCTCGTGGTAGGGCGAGGGGGGGGGGGTACAGAATCGCGATTCCAAATAGTTGAGAGTGGCTTCTGCGACTCCATGTACTGAGACTCGGATTAACTCTTTGCGAATAATATAGTATGATGAAGGAAGAGATGAAAAAAAAGTGGAACCGGGAGCATTTCTCCATTATGAACTACCGGATAAAGTAACGTATGTGAGGCAAGAGCACACAGTGATTATTTGCTCTCCGTTAGTTCCGTTACTTCATCTCATCTTTCCGTCCGCGTTAGCCCGTTTTTTTTCTCTCTCATCCCACGAGTTCCATCGAAAGGAATCAATTAGTGGGAATCAATTAGCTCGCCATTGCATTTCCCACCTGACCGGCGGAAGCAATGGTCCACCATACTCGACATATTGACAGATGGAAAAATAAAATGTTGGAGTGAAAAAAGGATACGTGACTTGCACATTTTTTTCTCAGCTATCGGACGTAGATGTCACGGAAAATCGACAAGTTACTCGATTTCAGTCACATGTGGATTTTTATTTCATTATTTTTTTATCGCGGCAGTGTTGGTGGAAGGGGAAATGCGATTTGCGGTGGCTTGTTTGACAGAATTTTTATAGAAATTTTTTATTCGTGACGGATGCTTTGGATTTATATCAATTGATTGGTTACAGGATTAGGGGGGACTTGAAGTTTGTGAACAGGTCAGCGGTGATTGTTGAAAGGATTTCGTGATTTTTGAGCCGCGGGAAGACGGACATTCCTTGATGTACTTCAGATTTCAATTAATAGAAAATTTGAGAATTTTTCTCCTCGAATTTTCCTTGGAGTTTTTCATGAAATTGTGAATTTTCAATTACAAAAATCGTGAAATAGCAAACACCACGGAAAATTCAGAAGTGAATTCCTCAACTTCGCTGAATTTTCACTGATGAAATTCTCCGAAATTTCCGTGCAACTCACTTGCTAAAATTTCCCCTGAAGTGTATTAGCAACCTTACCTAAAATAAAAAAATAACATTCTCCATGAATGGATAACAGAATTGAAAATCAGTTTGAACTTCCCCCGGCATAAATTCCAGCATAATTAATTTGCCTGTTGTCACAGACATTAATTCTCCAAGAGATTCAATAAAAATTAGATATAAGAGGGGGAAAAAGAAAATGTAAATTTCCCCTTTGAACAAAGTTTTCCCTGACAGATTCGCTCCGCTAACTATCTCTCCGAGTGACGCTCTTGCAGTCGGAAAACTTGATTCGGGCTAATCGACTCGTGGCTCGAATGAATTCCCGCTACCCCGCCCTTTTCTGCCATTTAATTCGATTCGTCACTGACAATCAAGTCCACCTCTCGCCCTGCCCCTCCCTTTTTCGTGGGGTCTGGCTAGTTTGCTCACCCCCTCCCCCCTCGTCCCTCCCGGTACAGTTTCGAGTTTTCGAATATATATGTATACTCTCAGTGGTGAAATGGTCAGCGCTGCTACAGTTGGCCAACGCTTGAAAATTATTCAAACTCACCGGGAGGGGGTGCCGTGTCTCCCACGATTTTCCTGATGAATTCGATTAATGCCAACGGTTTATTTTGTTTTCAGTGAGTGGTGCGTCCACACTCTCGTGTGATGGTACCATCATGCTGTATTCAATTACTTCATGAAATTTTCCCCGAGTAAGACAAAGTTTACATTTGGGAGCAATGAGTGTTTCATATCCATTAGTTGATTGTGGTGTTAAGGATTTATGGAGATGGAAGAGAAGAATATTCCGATGTTATTGGGGTTTGTGATAGGGTTTTTATGCAGAGATAAAGGTTTATGTTGATGGGTAGTGCCATTTCATCATTGTGTGCAGTTTTCTGGGTGATGTGTGCAGGGCGAGAGGTTGTGAGAAATTTTGGGATGAACTGAGCTTGAACCTGAATTCTTCAGATTCTTAATAATTATCGATGCCAAGGAATATTTTTCTTTGGTTTCTCCTAGAAATGGTGAAAACAATTTTCTAGAAAAATACAACTTCCACAAAAAACTTGAAAAAATGCAGAAATCAATAAAAATAAGTCGAGTCAGGGTTCAATGAAAAATCAGTAAAGAAAGATCCTCCGGATATTTGCAGATCCCATTGATTTTTGAAAGTAATGGAATTTTCTAGCGAATTATCAAATTTTTTCTATAAAATTTTTTCGTACGCGCGCTCATTCTACTTTTTCAAAAACTATCACATCTCTGAACTCCTTTTGTAGCGCTGCATATTTCAATCTTAGAACGGTTTCACGGTAAATGTAAATGTTGCTGAATGGGAAAAATAATGTTGTGATCGTGCTGCCAAAGCAAGCTCCTCCCCCGTGTACCAACATCAGAAAATAAGTAATCTGGGGGAGTACACTGCGAAAGAGATGGAGATGAAGAGCTCGATACTTGTTACGCGAATAAGGAGAAATCGATATTCTATGGGCTGTAGTCTTTTTATTCTGTCGATATTCACTGCCGCCGGGCTTTTCACAGGAAATTCAGTCGTGACAGCGTGATTACATCACGGAGTATTGATAAATTTCGGAATATCCCCCACTCGATATTGTAGATGAGTTTGAAATAATGATAAAATTCAATCCGCTAGATAGGAAAATCTGATATTTTTTTCTCGTTACAATGGGCTAGGATTTTTATTGAATGACTAAAATTGTTCAGTTTCTATCTGCAGTTGTGATAGGGGTTTTTAACCGAGTTGATTCTGGGGGGAAATTTCAAACGGTGAAGCTATTGGAGGAATTGAATACTTTTGCTTCCGTCATTCAAATTTAAATTTACAATTCACTTGAATAAGATTTTTATCATAATTACAATTAAATTCCTTCTGGAACACACTTTAGAGTGTGAATTTCTGGAATTCAATGTTTGTTTGTTATCAATTTTTAATTAGTTCGCACGGTAATTCGTACTTTTTTTGAGAAAGCACATCGCGTCAATTTCTTGGATTGAAAACCCTAACAGGACAAAGTAACTAATCCACCAGAAGAATTAAATAATTTTTTTTACCCAAAGAGGAATTAATGGGAAAAATCCAGCGCGAAGCGAGAGTTGAATAAACCCGAGAATGAAACAGTGAGGAAGAGAAATCGTGACATTTTCACGAGAAACGCCATCAGAGAAGCGATTCCTCCTAATCCAGCGTCTCTTACGACGGGCATTGACTTACGGTTAATTTTCCAGTAAATAAACGCCCCGACGGTTG